TGGGGGCGGGGGGGGTCATGGGGGTCACCCCTCTGTCACCGCCCCCCCCCCCCACAATGGGGGCTGCCGTAATGCCCCGAGAAACGCGCAGGGAGATGCCTGCTGCCTGGAGCGGTAGGTGCTACCGTAATGCCCCGCGGGACGCGCAGCACTGCCGTATTGCCCCGAGAAACGCGCAGCAGGACCCTAGGGCCCCGGGAAGCGACCGCTGCTACCGTAATGCCCCTGAGAAATGCGCAGCACTACCGTAATGCCCCGCCAGAATGCGCAGCRTGACTGTAGTGCTCTCACACAAGGGGCTGCCCTACCGTAACTCTCCCACAGAACGCGCAGCCCTACCGTAATGCTCCCGTGCAGCGCAGGATGCTACCGTAATGCTCCCACACAATGCACAGTGTTACCGTAATTCTCCCCTGCAGCCCACTATTACCGTAATGCTCCCACCCAGGGCACAGCCCTACCGTAACCCTCCCAGCCAACGCGCAGCCCTACCGTAACCCTCCCACACAATGCGCAGCACTACCGTAACCCTCCCAGCACATGCGCAGCGCTACCGTAATGCTCCCACAAAACACGCAGCGCTACCGTAACCCTCCCACACAATGGGCAGCGCTACCGTAATGCTCCCACCCAACGCGCAGCTCTACCGTAATGCTCCCACACAACGCACAGTATTACCGTAATGCTCCCCCGCAGCTCCCTGTGTTACCGTAACCCTCCCACCCACCGCGCAGCGCCTTTTTCCCCACAGGGGCCCCCCAGCACCGGCGCCCCCATGGCGGCCAGAGCCCCCGCGGAGCTGCTGGGCGCCCTGCTCCTGCTGGCGGCCGCGGGTGAGTGACCGGGGTGGGGGGCGCTATGGGGCGCTATGGGGCGCTATGGGGCGCCGCTGACCCCCCGTTCTTGGGCAGGGCACGCGGCGGGCGACGCGACGCGCGTGGTGGGCGGCATGGACTGCGCCCCCCACTCGCAGCCCTGGCAGGCGGCCATCCTGGACATGTCCAAGCTCTACTGCGGCGGCGTCCTGGTGGCCGCGCAGTGGGTGGTGACGGCGGCGCACTGCACCATGCCCGGGTAAGGGGGGGCGCCCTCGGGTGCAGGTTGTGCGATTTGGGGGGTTTTGGGCGGGACCCATGGGTGCTGCGGGGCTGGGTGGCCTCGGTGGCCTCGGGTGTCTTGGCCGTATGGAGCCCCATGGTGCTCCATGGGGTGGGTCATGGTCTTGGTGTTGCGTGTGGCCCAGGTGTTCCTCGCGGGCTTGGTGTCACGCGTGTCCTTGGTGTGTCCATCCCATGGCCTTGGTGTCCCCCATGTCCATCCCATGGCCTTGGTGTCCCCCATGTCCTTGGTGTCCCATGTCCCCCATGTCCATCCCACGGTCTTGGGGTCACATCTCCACCTCTTGGGGGTCACGCCTGGCCGTGTCACACCCCACATCACGGCGCCCATCCCACGTGGGCACCATGATGCCACCATGATGTCACATGTCATCGTGACGTCACCATGACGTCCTCCTGACGTCACAAGCGCCCTTGGCCTCTCGCGCCCCACACGTGCTCCGTCCCCCATGGCCTCAGTGTCCCCCGTGYCCCCCCGTCCCAGGGTGACCAGCATCCGCCTGGGCAAGCACAGCCTCTTCGCCCGCGAAGGGGGCCAGCAGCTCAAGAGGGTCCTCAAGTCCTTCCCGCACCCGGACTACGACGCCACCACCAAGGACAACGACATCATGATGCTGAAGCTCGTCACGCCCGCGGCGCTCAGCGAGACCGTCCGGCCCGTGCCCGTGGCCACCTGCCCCCCGCCGCCCGGGGCCTCCTGCGTCACCTCAGGGTGGGGGGCCACCTCCTCCCCAGAAGGTACCCGGGGCTCTGCGGGTCCCTCTTGGCTGCGTGGGGCCGTAGCCAGATGCTTGAAGCTCTCCTGGGTGTCTAGGTCCCTCCTGGACCCCCTATGTCCTCTCTTGAATTTCTGGGTCCCTCCTGGTCCCTATGTCCTCTCCTGGACTTCTGGGTCTCTCCTGGGTCCCTATGTCCTCTCTTGGGTGTCTGGGTCCCTCCTGGACCCCTATGTCCTCTCTTGAATTTCTGGGTCCCTCCTGGTCCCTATGTCCTCTCCTGGACTTCTGGGTCTCTCCTGGGTCCCTATGTCCTCTCTTGGGTGTCTGGGTCCCTCCTGGACCCCTATGTCCTCTCTTGGGTGTCTGGGTCCCTCCTGGACCCCTATGTCCTCTCTTGGGTGTCTGGGTCCCTCAGGACCCCTATGTCCTCTCTTGGGTGTCTGGGCCCCTCCTGGACCCCTATGTCCTCTCTTGGATGTCTGGGTCCCTCCTGGACTCCCTATGTCCTCTCTTTGGTGTCTGGGCCCCTCCTGGACCCCTATGTCCTCTCTTGGGTGTCTGGGTCCCTCCTGGACTCCCTATGTCCTCTCTTTGGTGTCTGGGCCCCTCCTGGACCCCTATGTCCTCTCTTGGGTGTCTGGGTCCCTCAGGACACCCCAGCCCATTCCCAGACACGTGGGTCCCTCACGGACATCTGGACCCTCTCCCAAATGTCCCGGTCCCTCCACAGACCCTTTTTTGGGGCAGAAAATGCCCCTTTTGGGGGGAGTTTCCCCTTCGCCCCCCAGCAGAAGGTCCTTTTCCCCCCTGGGACACCCTTCCTTCCCCAGACGCGGCTGGAGGAACCATCTCCAGATGGAGGGAGGTGGCGCCGGGGGGCGCGGGGCCGCGGTGGCGCCCGGCGCCCGGGTCCATCGCTCTGGTTTCTCTCTCCTCCGGCGCCTCCCGTCCCAGTCACTTACCCGGACGTCTTGCAGTGCGTCGGCGTCACCCTCTTCTCCACGGCCGAGTGCCGGCGCCTCTACCCGGGCTACATCACCGAGAACATGCTGTGCGCCGGCAGCCTCCGCGGCGGGAGGGACTCCTGCCAGGTACGGCCGCGGCGGCCCCGGGCCACAGGGGGGCACGGCCCACCTCGACCGCGGGTCTGCGAAGCTCTACGGGCTTCTCCGTTGGCCTCGTCAACAAGGGTTGGCCATCGTGGCAAGGGTTGGCCAACATGGCAAGGGTTGGTCAACATGGCAAGGGTGGGTCAACATGACAAGGGTTGGCCAATGTGGTTCTTGTTGGCCAACGTGGTTCTTGTTGGCCAACGTGGCAAGGGTTGGCCAACATGGCTCCACCTTGGTCACCACAAGAGGGTCTATGGTCTTCTCCGTTGGCCTGTTCAACAAGGGTTGGTCAACATGGCAGGGGTTGGCCAACGTGGCAAGGGCTGGCCAACATGGTTTTTGTTGGCCAACATGGTTCTTGTTGGCCAACATGGCAAGGGTTGGCCAACATGGCAAGGATTGGCCAATATGGTCCCACCCTGGTGACCACAAGAGGGTCTACGGTCTTCTCCGTTGGCCTGTTCAACAAGGGTTGGTCAACATGGCAGGGGTCGGCCAACGTGGTTCTTGTGGAGCTGGACAACCCAAAGCAGGGGTTGGCCAACGGCAYGCGGGTTCTTCAACCTCATGAGGGTTGGCCAAGTCAAGACCAACTCCGGAGCGGTCGGCCAAGCCGGTGATGTTCAACAAGCCATTGCCCACCAGCCGCCCAATGGGAGCTGGCTGAGGCYGTGAGGTCACCCGCGAGCTACGTCATGGTTGGCCAGCTCAAGGTTGGGTGGGCGGCCCCATGGGAGCCCTTGGCCACCCCGGTCGTGGTTCAYGGATCCCATCAGCCTTGGTCAACGGAATGGAGGTGCCAACTCAACCGGAGGAGACCCCATCCCAAGGAGGTCTCCCAACCCAACGGGGTTGTCCAACCCGCCTTGCAYGGACCCAACGGGGGGATGACCCACCTGACGTCACCTCTCGCCCCACAGGGCGACTCGGGGGGCCCCCTGGTCTGCAACGGGACCCTGCAGGGCATCGTGTCCTGGGGCATGGAGAAGTGCGGGCAGCCCAGGAGACCCGGCGTCTACACCAAGGTCTGCAGGTTCGCCCAGTGGATCCAGGACATCATGAGGGACAACCCGTGAGGGCCCCGGCGCCGCGTCACCCGGCTAAGCCACCGAGGCGGGGGACAGGAGACATTAAAGCTTTGGTGACAAACAGGGGGAAATTGGGCTTTTATTTCGAGACCCCCCCCCGTTCCGTCCCCTTGTGGTCTCCTGAGGTCCACGGCTCCTTGGGAAGGTGCTGGGGGACACGGGGCGAGACCTCGACTCCATGGGAGCTGGGGGAGGGGCTCTAGCCAACGGTGGTCGCCCCACCCATTGGTCATTGAGATGGTCGGTCCTGTTGGAGATGTCCAGGTCCATGGGAAGGGCCACGGGGGGTGGCCAACCCAATGAAGGGAACCCAACTCAACCCAATGAAGGTCACCCAACCCAACCAGGGCCACCCAACCCAATGAAGGTCACCCAACCCAACCCACCCATGGTCTTCCAACCCAATGAAGGTCTCCCAACTCAACCCAATGAAGGTCACCCAACTCAACCCAACCAGGGTCACCCAACCCAACCAAGGTCCCCCCATCCAATGAGAGTCCCCCAAATCCAATCAAGGTCCCCCCCCCCAACCGAACCAAGGCCACCCAACCCAACAAGGGGCACCCAACTCAAGGCTGGTTGCCCACCCAACAGGCACCCATTCCATAGGAAACACTCAACCCAACGAAGGGTCATCCAACACAACGGAGGTTGACCAACCCAACAAGGGG